GGTACGCATTAGAATTCACAACTCAAGATAACAACATTTCATAACGGATTTGAACTCCTAATGTATGGTGGCGTTCCTAGCGGCAATGGAAGCTAAATAGCGGAGGTTGGTTAACCACGTGACAGCTTTCAGCAACGCCTGACCTTCTTCGGACGCATCATCCGCCATTGCTGTTCAAATTAAGTTAATGCGCTCAATAGCGACGCGCACAACCTTCACCAAGGCCCAGGATCCGCGTAATTGCGGGTGGCTGGCTAAGGGCCGGCGGCTCCGCACATTGTAAAAGATTATCGCTTCGGGCTGAGCTAACATCAGCTGGGTTAGCTCCTCGTGCTCCTTCAGCCTCCGGTCGAAGTAAGCTGTGAGTGCTGGCGAAATAACTCGCGCTCCTCAGCTAGCTGCTGTTCGAAGAGGGCCCGCATTTCGGGAGTGAGCACTAATCTTTCTGCGCCCGCAGCGCCAATTTCCATAGCCGACATTCGATTCTAGTATTGCTAAGAAAAGACGGTGCAACACATAACTAGAGGACACTGTCCCAGCAGCGGGACACACCTCTTGGTAATAGTCAAAACAACGGCAGTTAAAGAACCAATGCGCCTGTGGGACCCAAGTAGGAGCTCGGCGTCCCTTGCCGTACTGCGGTCCGGCACATGCATGCATGCATGCGCCCTACTTCCACGCACCACGGCAGTTCCTTCGCAATAACTTGCCTATCTCTACACTCATACTTCGCTTCGAGAAGTCGAAGCTTGTTTTCCAAGGCGTTTGATACGATACTCGGTTGTTAAGGATGCACCTGTCGTTTATCCAGTGACTACCGTAATTTGTTTATTAAGTCTAGAGATTTTCCCTCCGTTTTTCCTTTTTTTAGTTTATGAGCCTCCTGGCTCGTCTTGGCCTTACGAAAGGAACACAAACCAAATCTTAAAAACAAATAGCTGCATCTCTACATCTCAAGTGCATGAATTTCCGGTTTGCTGCGAAGTGGCTGGGATGTGGCACCTTGTGGCAGCAGGACAGCGCCCAGTTGGCATGCCGGGATTTTGAAGCGGGAATCTGGTGGAGCGTGGCCATGCAAGCAGCTCCCGCAAGACCGCGCTCTGCCAGCAGTTCCTGCTTGCAGGTACACTGCTGCGAAGATGCTTGGGATACGCTCTGGTAACTACTTAGTCATATCTCCATCCCGATGTGCTTGCTCGCGCCCTTTACAGAGAATAAGAGTCCACGTGCAATGTCTTATATATTAGCCTTGTAATCTATTTTCAGTTATTTAGACCTCTGCACCTCCTGCGCATCCAAGCTGGCTGCCCAAGAGCGCTTGCGTCTTAAGTCCTACTTAAGTTGATAAGGCGGGGACCCTATGAGTTCATACACTGCTGGGGCCCAACCCCCAACCCAGCCCATTATGCAAGGAGGACACCCATGGAAGGGGAATAAAAGGGGTGAAAGCAGCCCAGCGCAAAAAGTAGTAGCGTGCATTTTACCCCTTCCTTCTACGCTCTCAGGTAAGTCCCTTGTGAGGGGGCCCGAGGGCTCCACATTCTTGCTGTCGGCAATGCAAGCGTGATTGGCTCCCATGACCCTCAGTTACTGTGGGCGGGAGGCAGTTGAACCGCACGAAGGGGTCGGATGCAAGGCGTTCAATGTGTGCTATGGATTTCATCGCCTAAGGGGGTGTTGGCAAAGCCAGGGCGCCGCAGCAGCATTGTTGTTGAGTGCGCCTGCTCAAACGTCCTGCGTAGTAGCTAATTGTTGCATAAATTTGCGAACTGCTAGCCATAAGCATAACGCAAAGGTTCCCGGCCCGGCAAGTAGTTCGCAATGATTGGTTGCGGAAAAATGGTCGCAGCAAATGCTCGATGCCCGAATTTCTGTTTAATGAAGCCTTTAGGATTTATTTATACGCAGAGACCTTTGTCAGCCAGAAGAATAATCCTGTAAAATAGGGGAGATGTACAGGGCTACTAGTATTGCGACACAGTTTGGCGAGATATTCTGTTTGGACTGACCGACGGACATGGTCAACCCTACGGGGCGGGGACCCGCCGAACACGCTTCGCCCTGGCGCTGGGTTTCTTTCATGCTTAGGTAGCCAACGATGGCATAAAGGAATAAATCTTCTGGCGAGCAAATCCAGAGGTGGAACGGGTGGTGAGCGGACCGAGGGGCCTGCGGACTGCGCCACTCTGTCCAGATCCGGTGATCTCCCCTGTCCGGAACTGAGCGCTCCCCCCGCCGGCCCCGGATCTCTGACGAGAAAAAGATGCCCTTTCTGGCACCCTGACGCCGATGCCGAGCCGGCAGCAGCCCTAAGAAGAAAACGAAAGGGGGCGAAGCATGATGCCTGGACAGGGGGCTACCAGGGGGCAAGAGGGCTGGTAACACACACACGCCCCTCCTGCCCCATTGTAAAAGCAGCATCTTGCATCCCAGGAGCTTTATTGCGCGACATTGGCGCGCGTCTGTGCCATGTGAGGCAGCGCGCCCCGCCGAAGGCGGCACCAACAAACGCAGAAGCTTTCTCACACTTCCGCAACACGACTGGCGCCAGCGTTCTAAGATGCGTTGTCTCAGTTCATGGACTAGTTTTTAACATATGCTATCACCACATCCCTAAAACCTTAAGGTACACAGCACAGTCACCAAAACAAGCACAGCACAACCGGCTTCCAACACCGTCCGTCCACGTCGTATCATGTACGAATGAAACCGTGACGCCAAACCGGCCGCTCAGGTCCCGACCGACCTCATATCCCGACGCTCATATCCTATCCCCGCCACACGCGCCGGTCGCCCTTCCGTTGTGGTCAAACAGAGCAAACAGTTCTGCTTACTCCTTATCCAGAAGCCCATACTTTTGACCACACCGAACAGGTGGCCCACGGTCCGATGATCCACAGCGTTCGTTCGTAGGCTGTGAAAGACAGATATAAATCCTCCCCTCGACCTCAGCTGTCGCATACCGCAAGTCCGGGTGGTGTCAAAACCGGGATATTCAAGTCCTCTCACATCCACCTCTTCGTCGCCCCTGCCACACTAGTGACGGTGCGGGCCGACGTCCGCGCCAGCCCGCCCTTGGCCTGCGGGCACACGACATTGACCGCCGTGCCTTGTACAAGCGTTCGGTAAACTGCACCGCCAGGCCGATAACCCCTGCTGCTGTGCTGCGGCTGATGGAGGTGCTGCTGTGGCACGCCGGCGCCCTCCGCTGCTGCACCGTGCAGATGACCGTGCTGTGGGCCTGGAAGTCCTCCTTCCCCACCGGTGTCAACACTACAAACTGAGTGCTCCTTGCTCAGCTCTCGCGGTAACTGCACATCGTGCCACACGGTACTCCCACCATTAGCACGAGTACTACCGCCACCATCTGCATCCTGGGGTGCCGCTGTCCGGGCGACAGCCTCGCCCCTCAGCTGTGGTGCAGGAGCCACTGTCACATGCCCCAGTAACTGGGCATAATAACCTTGGGAGCCTTCGTTTTCGGGAGGCTGGGGAGGGGCCGGTACTGTTACCGCGTGCGCTGCCAGCTCCATAGACGTCCCCCCTTCGGTCCTCCTCTGGTGGCGTTGGCCTGGGAGGTGCCGCAACGGGTGGTCGTGTGTGGTTGGCATCGACATTGTTGCCAATGGCGCAGTCCCTGAGCCTGAAGAGGCACCACGGGTCACTGTGAATGTTGTGCTTGCGGACGTGGCGCCGCTGGCGTTGGTGCTTCCGCCGCCTCCAGTGCCGCCGGCGTTGGCGCTGTTGTTTGGGCGGTGCGGGTTGGTACTGACGGGCTTCGATGTCCGATGGGCAGCGGGCGCGGTACTTCCGCCAGGCTTGGCCGGCGCTGCGATGGAAAGCAAAGTTGACGCATGTGGCATTTGGATTGGGACCGTGAGCAGATTGAGGGAGATGTCACGGTATGGCAGTAACCGTTGATGCATGGCTGCGGGGCGGGGCGGGGGGGGTTATACCCATTGGCCGCTTCATGCGTCGCGACAGAGGTGCAGGAATCATCTGGGTCAGGGGCAAGTCGGGCCACACGACTACTTCTACTATCACCACCACCACCACCACCAGGAGCGGAGATTTAGTCCTTCTCGCCAACTGGATCCTCCCGGATTCCATTTTCATGGACTCAACAACAATCCATCAATTCATTAATCCCGCCCGTAAAAATGCCCGGGGATAACATGGAATAGTACAACTCTCCGGCTGTTGCTGGCTTTCAATTTCAGCCACCTGCAAGCCGCACAGAGATATAAAACGCCTGGCCATGGTGTACGCCAACCAGCCAGCCAGCCACACACTCATTGCATCGGGTGCGGAAATGGGTTGGTGAAGAAGAACACATACCTGATGCGCCAGCACCGCCGGTGTCCACACGAGACGCCACGCTCCTGCGAATAACACCACACCACCATGAACCGCGGCGGCCTTGGAAAGAGGAATGCATAGCTGGGGACACATCAGGCCAAACCCGCTGGCACTCTGCCAAGGTATAAAACCCCCCAGCACATCGACACTTACCGACAGTGACTTGCCGCAGTCGTGCACCCTGGCGGTGTGAGGACTTACGTGTCAAATTAGAGTGTTCAGTGCTCAACACCACCATCCCACAATGTACATTATTCTCCTAATTTGGTCAGCCTCATTTCCGGTGCCACCACCGTTTCGTTACCCGGGCCCGGGCCTTTACCTGTTAGAATGCCCCTGCACGCCTGTCCGCCCGGACAGCCAAATCCCTGTTGCATGTCCCCCAGACGTCCCTGCAGCGCTGCTGCCGCCATGATGAGGCGCTTGGTGGCCGCCTGATGCAGCGCAAGAAGCCGCACCGCCGCGAGTTGACAGCGCATGAACAGCCCCTTTCAGGACGGGCCCTGCGCCGGCAACGGTCGCCGCGCTTGTGACGTCGTCAGATGAGTGTTGTGATGCCAGCTCACGCCCGGCAGCGATACTGGAGCTGCTGGGCCGGGCCGCCGAGTCCACACGCCCGCCAAGCTCCCTCTCCCTCTCACAGACCGCCACGTCTCGCGGCCTAGTCAACCCCGGTTGTGCGGCTGGTGCCGCCGTGCCGACCTGCTGCTGGTGATGAGGTGCGTGGGATGGACGGTTCCCGCTGACGTGCCCTTCGCAGCAACCAGCTGCCGTCTTGGATTCGGTGATGCTTCGTTGCACGTCCGATGCGGGGCGGGACGTCCGCACTGTGGCGCTGGAACGCCGTGCCGCGGCAGCAGCCAGCGCCGGTGGTGGGGGCGAGGCTTGGTGCTGCTGGCCCGGCCGTACTGCGGCGGTGGAGGCAGTGGCGGCCGGCGGTGACGGGCTGGCGGACGGGCACGGCTTGGAGGTCGGCGTTAGGCTGCCGACTGATGCAAGGGCAGAGGCTGCCACAGCCACCGGTGTTACTGCAGACGTCGACGCTGCCCATTGCCGGACGGACACCGCTGGCGTATCCAAGGTGTCCGGGGCCTGCACCTTCATCCCGGCCGCAGTCCCCTGCAATGTTACGGCCCCCTCATCGCTCGTCGCCTCCTTCGAGCCTGGGCTTGATGCCTGTTGCGCGGCGCCCTGGCCGCTGCTGCCAGCAGCCAGGGCTGCCCAGCCCGGCTCGGCAAAGCAACCAGCAGGTACCGTCGGCTGGCTATCCTTGCGATCCACGGGACACCCGTCCGCCCAATCAGCCTCCGGCTCGCCGGGAACCTTGGTGCTGCCCGCGCAAGTCAGCGGCGGCGTGTCAGCGGTTGTGTCAGCGGCAGCAGGCGCACGCGGCCGCGCGGCGCTTCCGGCCATGGCTACAGACAGCGACACCGTCTCCACATCGACTGAAAAGGTGCTTCCTTTGGGCGTGCCGGGCGAGCCCGGTGCCGCCCCGATCCGTCCTGGGGTGTCTGCGGTCTCTGCAGCATGCGCCCTGTGGAGCGCATCCTCGTCAGTGTCATTGTCTTCGTCTTTCGCCCGGCCGCGCGCTGCCCGGCCGGTACCCGGCACAGCGACCCGGAGGTGGGTGGAAAAGTCCACAGAGTCCCGTGGGTCGGGTCCTTCTGCAGGCGCGTACCGTTGTGCTGCATTCCCAGCAGCAAGTGCAACCCCGCCGTCACGCAGCCGCTGTGCTGCTGCATACATGACGAAGCCAGTGCAGGCCGCGTCCTCTGCCACGCCATGGCTGCCCGCTGCGCTGCCATGACTGCCGTGGCTAGAAGGCGCCGCGGCTGTGGCTGCCGGGGACAGAGGCATCAGTTTGCCTTCCGCACAAGCAAAGGCGGGTGCCGGAACATGCTCCTGAGTGGGTGTCATGACACAGGAGCCGGGGCTCACCGCAAACTTGTTGACGTGCCACAAGATGGGGCTGTTTGGCACCTGCAGCGGCTGGACATCCACCATTCGCCTGACCTGGAGGTTTTCCATGGTCTTGAAGGTGGGCCCCGGCTGTTGCTCTTGCCCGCTACAGCCAATGCCGCCATCGACACTGCTGCAGTGCCTTTTGGCCGCGTGCTCACCCGCAGGCGAGGGGCTTAGGCTGGCAGCAGCAGCAGCAGCAACAGTGACGCCGGATACATCCTCTCCAGGGTCCTGGTTGCGAAGCGCAGGTGAGAGGTTGTCGAGGGAGGAAAGCTCCGATACGAACTCACTGCGCGTCAGCTGTACTTTGTGATCAGCTGCTATGCTGCGGGCAGCATCGGCGAGCTGGCAAGTTGCGGGCATGACGTTCTGGCGGCGTTGCTGCGGGTACTGCGGCTTGGCGGCGGCGGAGCCGCCATCCTCTTCATTACTACCATCAGCAGCAGTACAACCTGCGTTTACAGCACGTCGGATGATGTAACCCATGGTAAGCATCCCGTTGCGTTTCACGAGAAGCACCGTCAGTCACACAGCGCATTCATGGGCATGTGTGCATCACCTCGCCCCCGAAGCTGGCAGGCAACGAAACTAGAACGCACAACGAGAACCACATAACGCGACCGGCATACACCACTCACCTCCAATGGCGGCTGCTCCCGGCCCATCCGATATAGTTCCATTGCCGACGTCTTGCCGCAGTTCGGGCTGCTGCTGTTGCGACTGCTCTTCCTCCGCCGTGGCCTTGGGCCGCTTCCCCGACCTTTCTGCTTCATGTGCATAATCCATTGATGCAGCCTCCAGCTTCGCCAGCCGCTCTCGCAGCGCTGCCATTTCCTGCAACAGCACGGCGGCGCTCGGCGATTGTACTGGCGAAGCCAGCGCCGCCGCCTGGCCCGCGGATGACCGGACGCTCATAGCAATGCTGCTGGTCCTGCCACCCGTCGCGTCTGCACAACCCCGCTGTCCTTCAAGGATATTGACTCGATGCATGAGGCTGTGAAGTTGCGTCGCCATGTCCTCCAGCACCTGCATACCCAAGGGAAACGGGAAAAGCCGCCATCGCTCTTAACGGTGTCCCGATAACGAGGCGGGCTGTCTGCTGTGAACCGCGCACAACACAGTACTGTTAAGCAACGCCAAATTTAGCGCTAACGTGGCGAACGCCGGCTCTACATCACTTGGCACTTGCTACGCAGTTCGTCTACACGGCCTAGGTTGAGGCAGGGTAAACCTGCAAAACATGGGGTACCACGAAAACTCCGTAACTACCTTGGACTGGCCCGCCCAAGCCTGTTCTGCGATCGCCCTCCAGTGCTCCATCGTCTGCAGCCGCGCCTCCAAAGTCAGGTTGCGGCTGTCAACGAGAGACAGAATCGCCGCGATCTGCTGGCCAGCCGCGTCGATTTTCTTCTGCCATACCTCGGATTGCGAGCTGAAACTGCGGGAGACAAAGAGCACCGCCCGCAGAGGCAGCGAAAACATGAATGACAAGGACACGCTGCCTAGCCTGCCGCGAAAAGCAGCGCGTGCATGATTCAGGCAGCCTGTCGGAGTGCCAAAAATCCTGCTGCCAAACCCACTGGAACAGATACCGCAGGACTGCTCTGTTACCTTCGAACGTGCTCAAGCTCACTGCGTATGGTCGCCTCCGCCTCCTCTAGGTGCTGTAACCGCTGCTCCAACTCAATGGAAATCCCCTGAGCAGTCAGACCTGCAATCCCACGAGGTCGGAGGAACGGATTCACTTGGAGGTGAGTTGACCATCGGCGGTGATCCTCCAAAAGGCCTAGGGAAATAGTGCTGGACAGCGTTATGCGTAAGCTGCTCGCGCCCTCCTAGCGTGTGGATGGAAGACGTACCTGATGTTGCTGCTAGCAACGCATGAGCCATCTGTGGCGTAGGCAGGACATTTGTGGGTGTGCAGTTTGCTGACCGGCCTGCTCCCACCATGTGGCTGCTTCCGACGGCGGGCGTCTTTGGCAGCTTCTTAATCACACGATTGCGCTTTAACAATGCATCAAGCTCCTGCAATGCATGTGCAGCGCTCCCGCAGCAAGGGTTGCCTGCAAGGACCCAAATGATGGCGACGTGCTTAGCGCTTGGCACATGTGGTGGCGTGGAAATCGATGTACAATTGCAAAAGCCTGGTGACATAGATACAGCAACCCTGCCGTCCCTGGAAAGCAGGAAGTGCATGATGGACACCTTGACAAACCCGACAGTCTGACCCTGGCACTGGGCAGATCCCTTACCTGACAGATCTATGCTCTTCAGGGTAAAGTTGCTAAGCCTCAGGGTGCCCACCAGAGCCTGCACCCCTCGCTCATTAATGGTGTTATCTGTTGTGTGTTCAGGGCCGGCAATGGGGCGCTGGTCATTAAGGTCTCGTCACCCGTGGGTCTTCGTAAGCCGCTACTCGGCATTGGGAGAATACCCCCACAGGAACCCCATGGCGCCAGTTATTGTGCATTAACGCCCCCCGGCCCCCGAGCCGCATCCGAACCTGGAAGTTCAAGCACCTCGAGCTTTGCATTTGTTGTCATGGATGCTGCTAGTTGGGTGGCGCGTGTGCAGTCGAGCCCACAACCTAGGATACGCAATGCGTTAGCGAGGATTTTCCCCTATAGCTCCGTAAGCTATGCGGGGCATGTTGCGATCGTACTGACCTCGCAAGCGTACGCCGACAGCCTCCTTGTTATGCTGTAAGGCCTCAAGCAAGCGCAGCCACATCTCATCATCAATATAACCCTCATGCCCCACAAAGCGAGTAGGTGGTAGTGGAACTAAGCCCGTTAGGATGTCCAGTAGCCGGTCCATTTTCGCCGGTTGGTCAAAGTTTACTGACAACTTGAAATTCCATGCTTGCGATACACTTCATGTACTTTCAATGCTCAAAGCTGAGTGGGGAGGACGCAGTCAGCAGCTCAAGAATTCAACCTTCCCGCCATATCCAAAACAACAGGGTCGTTATGCTGGAATTGACCGATCAAGGCCTCCACCATGACGGCTAAATCAGGAAAGGTCCTGTCATCCACAGTGCTTGTGATGACATCTGAAGCCCTCATGACATGAATGTGTCTGGGCTTCCATGGTTAGCTTCCAAAAAAAATGTAGTTGTACGGCAGTCCTCACAGGAAAAACTCAAGATAGGATGCAGTCTGGGACTTTTAGTTTCCTAAAGAGGACGAGATATATTTCTGACCCCGGCAGCATTTGTTACGTGTAACCTACAGTTACAACGCTCTCAGCGGGTCACAGCAAAATACAAGGTAGTGTTCCATACAGTTTACCGTGTATGGCTATTCCTTTTAAGAGTGGGGAAATTTGACGGAGACAGCATACTTAAAAGCAAGACATTGGACTGATGCTTAGGTTGTGATGTTCAAGTTGTTTGGCTCTTTGTTTCGAGCGGCAACCTTTTGTGCGGCGCAAAACCAGCGTTCAGGCATGAACTCTGCGAAGCTTGGTGCAGTTTTGGATGAAAAAAACGAGCAGGAGCCACAGGCTGCCGCTAATGGGACGGATGCTGGCGCCTCCTCGTATGGTGAGCCCTAGATACTTGATTGAAACGGCAGTTTCACATTTTGGGCCTGCATATTTGGAATTGAACGTGGGTGACATTTATCTGGTAACTTTTGGGCCGCCACGCCCCTTAACAGAGGAGCACATTGCCCGTCTCAAAGCTGAGGCCGAAGCCCAAGACTGTGCAAATCGACTACGCGTGGCGCAAGAGCAACTAGCAGAATATGCGGCACAAAAAGAGGAGGACTCTGCTGGTTTGGTTCAGGTATGTTCACGGTCTGTCCGGTTTGGCGATGGTGCTATGCGTGCAAGAGAGCGTTTGAGCATGTATTATGCTTCTCGGTTAATTATGTGGAGGTAACACCTTAGAAACGGGTAGTGTTGGTAGACGTCGGCATCCTTTTTAACGAAGGTCTGATGAGGCCTGACATGGGTAGCTCTGTGAGTGCTTTGGGGCAGTCAAAACGGTGTACAATATGGCTGGTATTGTCCAAGAAACTGCAAGCCGTATACTCGGTGTACGGCAGAGCTTGGGAGACCTGGCGGGATCGCCTGTCCACCTTCCGTGCTACACGTGCAGGGTGTGACACTGCTTATGTGCGCAGTTTATGCTGTTCACGGGTCCTTGGCTGTGCTCTTTGCAGGAGGCGGAGCGCCTTAAGGAGGCCCTTGCGCAGCTCCTTCAGCAGCCTGGAAGCACGGCCGCGGACTTCCAGCAAATCGCCCACATGTTTAACAGCTTACTGGAGAAGCTTGCCGATGCGGCCACCGAGGCACGCGCCTTCGCTGCACAGCAGGCTAGTGACCTCGCGACCTTGAAGCGCTCGAGTGCGCAGGTCCGCAGGGATTACACATGCATTTGGGTTTGCCAGGCCGTTCTTGTAAGTTGGTCTTACACGATCTTTTTTTAATGCATTCGGCGTAGGCTGACCTGCATAACGACGTCGATATGAAGCGCGTGCGGGACGGCTCGGCGTCGAGCAGTGAGGCCAGCGGCGAAACGGCCCCGGAGGAGGTGGGTAATCGCCAATTGCATGTGGCAATTCTTCGTACGCAAGTGGGTGGGTGCAGTGAGCAAAGGCACAGTTGGTTAGTATCCGAGTTAGTATCCAGGTCTTGGCTGCATGCTGGATGTGTTTCTGTCGCAGGAGGACGACTCAGCGGAACCAATGCGTGGAACCATCAGCTCCCAATCAGCCGGAATGCCCAGCACGAGCTTTGCAGAGCGCGCACGGTACATACCATTGCGGCTTAGCCACGATGAGCGGAAGCTGCTTCGCTTACTGGAGTCTGCTCTCAACGTTAGCGAGTATACGGACAAGGTAGGTGATGTCGATTAGGCGAACTTACTAGGCGTGACTTAGCGGGCAAGGGTGTCAGATGGATGATTGCCAACATGACGTTTTTCATGTTGCTGGACTTGGGTCTGCGCATGCACCATGAAGCCACTTGAGTTTTTTGCATAGCTTGTGCTATGCAGTTTCAGTTTTCCTTCCCATGTGGGTCGGGAAGGTCTGCGGATCTCAACTGACGGCGGAAAGGATAAGGCTCGTCAATCGCTGCAAAGACTGTGCGTTACCAAATCGAAGCACGTTTGAATCGCAGGTGGACATCCTTACATGGCGGAGCAAAAATCAGCGCATTCACGCACAAATTCGGGTACGTGGAAGTAAGCTATGGAAAAGTAGTGTACGGCCTGCTTTGCGCTATCTGAGAGGCGATCCCACCAGGCCTGCGAGCAGTATAGCGACGGCAACGTTCGGGATACCCCTCGCACAAGTGGTCTGCAAACCTATTAGTGATGTTCACCGAAGTCATGGTGGCTTGCGGATAGCCGTTCCCCAGCTGCCCGAAAAGGCATTTCTCATGTCAAGTGCTACGTCCTTGCGTTGACAACGTGTCCGTGCAGGATCTGTGCGCGATCCTTTCTGGCCTTTTGGTGGCCACCGACTACCGAAAGGGCCAAGACCTTATTCGAGATCGGAATTTCGCTGACAACGCGGAGTTTTTTCAGGTACGCGGCTAGGTCCGTGTGACATGCGACATTTGGTTTTTGTACAGCTGGCTTGGGCTGCGAGGCTGGAGACAGTACAGACCAATAACGAAAAAGTAAAAGCTGAAAGGCAACTGAAAGCCGTGGTAGCTTAAAGAGGGGCGGCAATGATAACGAGATTGCTGGTCCTACTTGGTGCCTGGTTTGGATTGTGGACTATCGGAACAGTGAGCTTCGTCATGGGCGAGGTTGCAAGTTAGGCCTTGAGCAATTACCGTGGTGTGAGGGGGTGAGTTCACAGTTGGTCGCACGTAATGGAGGGTTGAACACACCGTTGTTCATTCGGGCCACCGCCGGATCTTCAAGGTGCCGGAACAACTGTGCATGAGGACAGTTGTTCGTGTAACCCTCTTTGAGAGCCCCTTCGTCCTGGTAGCGCTGCCAATTTTGAGATCGGCGGTCGACCGAGTTTCAGTATGCTCCCGCCAGGACATCTTTGAGCTTGGGCGGCGTTACAAGATATTGAACCCTGATAAGATGCGCAGCGAGTATGGCAAGCTGATGTACCTGCTCATGGACAGCGCCGAGCCCGCCATTCAGGAGCTACTCGAATTCCAATGCGTTCGAAAGCTACGCACCGTGTCAAGCTTCCTGGAGGAGCGTGGCGGTCTCGCCATGCTGGATGACCCGCTCATGCACACTGCCACGGCTGAGATTGTTGCAGGTAGGCGAGCGGCTCGTGCATGGGACTGCCGCTTCCCCATGCGATATGCGTATGGCGCGACGCTGTTCGTTTCGTATTCCTGGATCAATGCTATGATTTGTGCTGGGCAGGCGCACGAAGTTGTGGGGTGGTCTAGAGATGATATCGTTTTCACATTTGATACAGTTCACCGCCTTGACTTCCTAGCAACTTGCAATTGTCCCGTCATAGCGTCTTGTAAATGTGCACCCTTGGTGCAATGCCTTGTAGGGGAGCGGCCACGCCACGAAGTGCAGCGGGACATAAAGATCAAGGAGAAGGCGCGAGAGGCGCTCAGTCGGCGGTACCGCACAGCGCGCCTGAGCGAGGAGGAAATCCTGCTCTGTATCTATTCCATCTCGGACAATAATTCATACCTCTTGTTCAATCGTAAGTCCTGTAGATACGGGGAACCCTGTGCCACTGCAACTGCCCAGTCGTCAATGCACGGGTCGTTTGGCTCTCCGGGCTCAATCCAATAGCCATGCTAGAATCCTCATGGAATTCACAACTTTCTGTCATGTGGTCAAAAATGGTCCGTGTATGTTGTCGCTGCTGGATCTGTTTAACTGATAAATATTGTCCATGAGCCACGGTCTGCTGAGGGTGATATCAGGACCTACAAGTTGCTGTTCCCACAGTTCCCCTTGCGATTGGTGTTTCTATTTCCTGGAGCTTCTTTGCTAGGCTTGTATGCTTGGCCGTTATGAGCTTGCATGGATGCGCGGTCAGCATATTGCCTTGAGAACCCTTTGTCTGCCGTGCAGGTGACCCAATCGATCGATTCATCCACTTTTTCCACCGGTACTTCAAGTCCGACACCCATGAGCCGGGCTACTCGCTCGCAATCCAAGGTGGCCGCGATGGGGCGCGGCTCACCCATAACCACGAGCGGCAATACCACTACGTGCTGCAATCGCTGACGCTGTGGCGGGAAATTTCGACTGAAATGTTTAAGCTGTGGTACCTCGCCGAGTCCGACATGCTGCGAGAGGGCAACAGCTATCGGCTGTGCGACACGGGCCAGGGGCTGAACCGCGTCCAGTCGGCGCCGCAGGTCGGGCGATCCATGCAGCAAATCCTCAGCCGGTACGTTTGTGTGCGCGGTTGAGCGATGATGTATGTGACGCCTTATAAAAAATATATATTAAACGACGCTGTAAGGCAGTACTGAGGCACTTACAGCACGACGCGGACTGTTTGGGTCCTGTCTGCTTCCGGCATCCCCTTTACCCACCTACCCGCGCTCGCGACGGTGCTGCACGCCTGCAGGGTGCAATCCCGCATCGGCTCCTGGGTGGGGTCGTCTGTGGTCCACCTGGGCGACCACAACGTGCCTAACGCCCTCATGTTCATTGACAAGTATACACAGGTGGGTGAGGGTGGGTTGTGCCTGGCCTATAGGGCGGGTGAACTGCAGGTGTGTAAATAGGTGTGACTGAGTGGGCTTGCGGATAAGAGGAGGCTCCGGCCGGCCATTTGTGGGTGCTCCGTTGCTGCCTTGGAGTGAGCACTATGTTTGGCTATGCTTTACTGGCGCCAATACCTTTCCCTACTTGTCGTTGTGCACGGGAACGGGACCTGCCCTTGATGTGCTTCTGTTGAGTCTCAGTTGGGCTGTGGCGTGGGGCCGAGGGTCGGGGGCCCAAGGCAAGCTTTATGAGTCGGCGGATAAGGCTCCTTCCTGACATGGGAAACAGGCAAGCTCGTTGGATCCCGTCGTGTTCGTTTGCCGTCGTTCGTTGACCTGTACAGGTGCCGCGGATCCTCAACCCTGTGGTGAGCGTGCTGGAGGAAATTCCAAAGCTCTACCGGGATCCCCATCTGCGCATGTATATCGACGCGACTTTTGGTGAGCTTCGAGGCGTTGGTTATGAGGCTGGTCGGGCTCTTTCCCGAGCTGCCCTGGCTATGCGTGTTTCGCTATCCGTGCCGGATCATCGGTTCGACATCTCCCGCGCCACAGCATGGTTTGTGCTGATGGGTTATGGTTGATGAATGGTATTGCACAAGCTGTTACGGAATATGCATCTGGCCTAAGTGGCGAACTGCTATGGCCCCGCTATTACATTCGCCACGCAGGCGGAGTAGAGCAGTGCCGCAAGGCGATTTTGGTGGACTTCTGCAGGCACGCCTTCGACGGCAGCGGCGCTGACAACTTTTTCGACGCCGGCTCGTGTATTGATGGGCGCTTGACGAGTGCCTGGAACTGGTGCAGCAAGATTGAGAAAAAACCCTTCTACCACGTCTTCAAGCTTGCTGGTTGGGTGGGCTTCGACGGCGAGGTCAAGACTTAGGGTTTCACGTGTCACGGGGCGTATTTGTCGTACTTGTCGTATAGAAGAGAACCGAGCGAGCAGGCACGGGGTATAGAGAGGAGCGCATGTACACTTGCGATTCTGTATGAAGACTGATGTGCAGCTGTTTTTCGGCGTAGAGGACTTGGCAATGGGGACACTCGTTCACACCACATGCTAGATCTCAGTGATTTTAATTAAGAGAACGTGGTGCCGTTCAATTTGGCCCCGTGGCATAAATAGATGGTGGTCAAGAGCGCATACATGCGACGTCTGGGGGGATGTCGTTGCCAGTAGAGGCAGGGCTATGGTACCTGTGGGCAGCATTGGCTCAGGGGACTGTGACTCATGTCGGGTGCATGTAGGTTATGTATGCACGAGATGACAGGCCTAACAGGAGCGTCCTGTGCTTGAGCGCCGGATAGGCGTAGCTGGTGTGCTTTCGAGGTCATCAAGTGTACGTACATGGTTGGAAACTGCAGGAAGAAGTTCCCGCTTTCTGTGATTTCGAAGATCCCACTGCACCGTGTCGCGCGCCAGATCGTGCAGTGGTGGCTAGCTTTGCTGTGCAGTTTTGACTAGATGTTTGCGGTACGATACGGTGTCTTTTGAGGTTATGCAGGCTCTGCTATCTGTCACATGGGCAAATGTGTGGACTCTTGGATTCATGGGCATCTGCATCGGGAGTTTTTGGGGAGTTCGGGAACGCAAATTATGTCCATTTTTCCAGGCACGCGCCGCCTTCGACGCACGTTTTGCAGCTGTCTACGACTTTTCGTCGCCGTCTCTGGACTGATAGCGGCTGACTTCGTCGCCGTGCTTTTTAAAGATTTGGTTGTGGACGTAGGTCTTCCCCACATCAGCTCCCTCGCGGCTTGCAGTGGAACTGAGTTTTGTATGCCTCGTGGTGTCATGCCTCCAATGACGCACGTCTCTTCTCTCTCGCGGGCTCTTAGATGTGCCGCGTAGAATACAAGGACCTTCTTTCCGTGTTTCGAGCGCGAAAGAGGTGCCCTGCCGTCCGCTGCATAGCACGTAGTGCAGCTTACCCGCCTTAGTGCGTGTGACGGATTCGTTGGTGCAGATTGGTGCGGATTGGTGCTGCCCTTACACCTTGATGACGCTGGCCCGGCCCATACAAAGCTGCCCATACAAGCGCCAAAGCAGCGCGGATCTCCGAAGCGAGGGCAGGTATTAGCACGCTACGTGGGCTGCTAAGCACCTGTGCCTTAAAACATGCAACAGGTATGCTGAACAAGCTTTCAGTTTTCTACGCATGGATGATGTCATTGCATTTGGACTGGTGGTGTTTTGCGGGGCCGGTTCCCTTGGGTTACGTATGCTCTGATCACGGCGGGGCCCTTGTTCAAACATACAAAGTGGTCATGATCAACATCGTCGCATGTGACTTCGTTACGAGGTTATAACTATACCTGCCGGATAGCGTGCTGCAGCGCTAAGCTGGTTTGGGAGGTGGTCTGCCCTTGCACCCATACTTTCGCCCAACATTTCTTTAGTCGTGTTGTGCCGGGCTTTAATGTACCATGATTCCGGCACCGAGCGCTATTACCGCTTTGTACTACGTACCGACATGAATACCATAGTGTGGCCGGGTAGCCTCTGGTTCACCAAACGTTACGATTGCGGAATGCAAAAACTGCATGCCATTTGCCTTGCCTTGCCGAGTCACGATGGCAGGTCCTGAGCGTTATCTCGTTCGCTATGCTCGTCGTCTTGGGCAGGATGGTAAATCAGCAACAGATTACAGAGACACAAGAATATGCACTGTTAGGGTGTATTTCCAGTGCGGATTAAGGCCAGGGATTAACCCTCTGTCATCCATCGATACCTGCTAAAACGGCTAAGTTGTTGGCAGACTTACCTCGCCTTTTCAACCTTTGGTTCCCTTATGGAACAAAAACTATGTGGTAAGCTCGTACCAAGGACTTCCGTGCCCTAATCCCTGGCCTTAATCCGCACTGGAAATGCACTCTTACTGGATAAGGCCAGTAATAGGAAATACGTCAACTCCTATGGTTTGCAAGAGCACAATGTTGGGAGAGGAACTAAATTTTTATCTGCGGCAGATGTACATACATATATACCAATGCCCCTACATTGCGCCATTGTTTCTCACACCATGTCAATGAGGTTACAGTTGCTGTTCCGAACAGATCACTACCGGTAGTAGAAGGGGAGTTAGGGAAACAGCGGCTTTTCCAATCCTAGGTTCTTTCCAACCCGCGGTGCAACCAGGTGGATCCGGTGGGTCCTTCAGTTTCCTTGAGTTTGCTGCTGGCATCGTAGCTCATAGGTACAAAATGCCTCGATTCAGTACACACATTTGCGACCCGTTGAAATCCAATCATCGAAACGAAACTCATCCAGAGTCTGGATGAGTTTCGTTGCAATGACTGGATTTAAATGTCTGGATTCCAGACACGTCTCTCACGCGGCCAAGGAGTCACCCCATTCTTATTAGCTATATATTTCGATGCTTCCAGGAGGTTCGATGCAAGCCATTATGATTCGCTTAGGGGATCAGCGATTCTTGGGACCGTTGGTTTTAACTCACCTTCTGCAATTGGCTGCGACAGGTACTTCCCGAAAACAGATACAGGGGATGGAAGGGAGTCTGGCAAGAAAGGCAACGGACCGAACTTTTCTATTAGTCGCTTAACAATCATCTGTGCTCATTGGTTATATGCTGATTCGTTTGGTTTGTGACATCTCTCTTTAAGGCAGTGCCATTCTCCTCGTCCTGGGGATGCGTGGGCGCGCCCACGTGCTTGGGTGGGCCGTCGAGGAGGCATTGCCGCGCGTCCAGTGCTTTCGGACTGTTCACACTGATTTTGCAACGGAAACGTCCACCCGCACGGCAATGCTTTCACGTTGGATGGAACACTTCCGCGCTTTCACGCGCCCAACGCTGAGCTGGAAAGCTACTGAACGTACAGGTTCTCCATGTGTGATCGTATCCCAAACGGACCGGTTTTGATGCTTCGGTAAACTGCGATGCTCATGGCAGGTTGGCATTTTGGCGCCATGTCTCCATGCATCGCAGTGCTTGCACCAGGTCTATAGCGTAACGGGGCCGCCCGACAAGAACGAGGAAGGCTGCAAACCAACGGGCGCTGGCGTGTGGCTCGGAAGGCAGTTTGTTTCGTCAGCACCAAGCAACGAGTAATAATGGGTCTTGGAATTGTGATGGTGCTGGCATGCATGTAAGATGCAACCGCGAAAGCATGCATATTGAGAGTTAGCATTCATGGTTTCCCAGACTTCTACGTGTTGATCGACTGATCGACAGAAGAACTATTACTGAAGGTAGAAGCACATACTCAACGCGTCGCAAGCATGCTGCCGGAAAGCTTGAAGACGCTCCCGATTTCCGTTGGAGTATCAAAATATCTTTTGTTTTGGCCGTGATCTTTGCCACAGTCGTGAGTCATCTGGCCAGTTTGCTTTGTTCTTCGTCGGGATAACCCACAGCATAAGGCGCGCCACGATTATGTGGCTGCTAAGGATTTTATAAAAAATGTTTTTGGACTGACCATCTTCATGGCCGATGTGCCTTGCGCCGATTTGGGTTTTCATCTGCCAAAGTCGAACGGAGTGGAAAAAGGCGGGCTGGGCACTGCAAGGGCCCCGCTCCACTCCCCAACGTGCTCGAAGCTGGCGGCTGCTGCTCACCATCCACTCCCGGCGGGCACAGACCAAATTGGGTCAGCGAACAGAAGGCCCAAACCCCACCCCTTCCGTACGAAATTCATACTAGGTGAATCGTTCGGCGAATTTTGGCCCTTGCTGGAGTGATCTGCTTCGCAGTCGCGGAAACCCGCCGAGCTTACATCATACGGATATGTTTGCTGTCCTCGAAACTTTACCATGCTCACTCACGTACAGTTTAATCTACCATTTTGACAGGCGCTGACTGACTGGGTCTCCAGTCTCCTGTCTGCGGCGCAGCGCGTGTCAGCAGGATGAATGTGCAAGGTGCCCATCTTACAGCATGCAGCCGAGAGAGACCATTCAGGGGCAACATATTGTCCATGGTGCACTTTGTAAGGCTGGTGGGAGCATCCTATTGAGGAATTTCATCGACTGGGTTGATCCGGGCTAGGGCGAGCCGGTCCGGCTCCAACCATACGGACCTGGCTTTGCAATATGCTGTACCTTGTCTCTCATTAGTCTTAGAATAAAGGTTCTGTTCAGAAGGCATCTCATGGCTCGCCGGAAACAAATGTGATCTTCGACACTCCGGACGTTGGGCGACAAAGCAGATAACCTCACATTGCATCCAGACATTCAAGTTCTTGGTACCGTTTTAGATCAATCGGAACCTTTTTCCGACTTTAGAAATGTGTTATAAGCTGCGCGCCCCTTCAGCGTCTGAGGCTTTCTAGGCAATTTGTGGATTACCCTCACCTTTCATAATTTTAATCGTTTCCGATTTATATTTTAGATGAGGACGATGTCAGCATTAGTCGCAACGCTGCACGTCGGAAACTTTTGTTCCTTTTTGCACCAGCGCGAAGTACTGCCGGCGGGCTCAATACTTGGTTTTGGCACGCAAACGGATGACTGTTCAGCCTAGCCTTGTAGTTACTTGGTTTTCAAACCTTTTACGCGCCATCAAAGCCCGTACCTTTCACGTCCTCAAGCCACGCCCACCGTGCGAGCTCTGACCGGCGTCATGGTTAACCCGACTCCCTTAGCTAACCTGGCATCCGTCCTTGCGGCGGAAGCCCCACTGGACAAACTGTGTCCGATTTCTCGAAGCCGTAAAAAGGGCGGGACCCCCCTGCATCCGTACAGGGCGGTAGCTAGGGTGGCACGTGTGACAATTGATGGGTAGTGTCAAGGTGGTGGGAGCTGTGCTTGTTGCAGCAGTGCTGATGCTGTGGGAGCTATGCTTGTCAGAGCGCGGGAGGCAGGAAGCCGGGGCTCATAACCTATAGAAGAGACGGTGTCTCTCTGGAACCTAGCAGACATGGCTAAGAGTCATTGGCCGTTACACGTAGTCGGGAGGTCCGCGACCTGCCACCGACAGCCCCTTGCTTGGGCGTAAACGTATGAGGTGCCGTTACCGGCACACAGCAGGGGCTCGGCCGCCAAGTCCGCAGTACAGGCCGGCTGCTCAACGCTCAGCAGACACAATCGCAGCTTGCCAGCCTTCAGCCTATTGGCTTTGCGGTCTGGTGCTGCAGCCATAACACACACGGAAAACAGCGCCGTACAGCACGCCGTGCACCATATGCACTGCCAACGGCGCCCCTTCAGACGCACCCTTGTGGCCCCCTCAAAGCCTAGCTCGACACACTTCCCCAAAGCCCTCAGCACTTTCCGGTGCTGTCTGTAATGTTCATCCCCGAAGCGCCAGCGGCTTCCGCAATCCGCCCCATAGCCGCGACACTGCAAGTCTTCGGAGGTCCCGAGCATTGGCCAAAATAATTGTACAAACGAGCAGCTTGCGTATTTCATAGAGAAATGAAAGGAAATTCGTCGTTCTGCTGGTGGCCAGTCGGAATGCCCGTGCGGACAAATGGTAACACAAGCTGGGTGTTCGAGTTATCATACGCCGTCATCTCAGACTTCAAATATGAGATACGCGGCACCTTTTGAGATTAAATTTAGCCCGAGAGGCGTTGATGTGACTTTGACCTCCGAGGTCGGTCAATGGAGGCAGCCAAACTTGTTTGTGCTCATACGATTTTTGTTAGCTACAGGCGAGATAACTTGAAATAGAGAATGCAATATATTACCAATAACGCGTTTCAGCCGGGCGAGATATTATGTTTCGCCCGTTACACACACACGGCCATGGGCAATCCTACAGGGCGGGGCCCCCTGGGCGCTTCGCGCTGGGGCCCCGCCCCAAAACGTGCGGGATATCTTAGAAGAAGAAATATGTGAACATCCATGTTGCCGGCGCTTCTGCATTCTGTTTCAGAACTGCATATGCTGTGTCGGAACTGCGCGCTGCATGTGGAAACTGTAGGAACTTATCCCACCATCCCAAAGAGAATGGAGCGTAATGGCAGTATCCAGCTAACAAAACAATTTTAACAACCAATCTAAATCTCGCTCGTATACAGGCATATGAGCGACAGACCGAGCCACCAACACCGGCACTATAAAACAACATTCTCCGCCTTTCACTTCCAAACAGGCCCCACCTGCTCCCTCCCTTCCCGACGCAAGGGCATACATGCCTACGTACATACATACACTCTCACCTCCCTAGGCAGACACATACACCCACACACGGACGCATGAGGGGGGTGCATCTGGATATCATTCAACACTTCCTTTCCCCCCATTGATCACGTGAATCCCATTCCCTCCCTTTTTCCTTTCCAGCAACCCTTCCTGCCTCAACCCCTTAACGTATAAACATACAACCATACACATAACCATACATGCATAGATGTCTGCGACGCGGCGCACACTGATGACAGCCCGGCCAGACAGTCCAGCTAGATCAACAGCAGCAGACAAGGTGGCGGTGGCGGTGACCTGCTGTACAACTGCGGTTGGCTGCAGGTACCAAACCCTCTGCCTACCAAACCCAACAGTATGTACTGCCTGCTGTGCATTGTCGTCCGGGTGCTTGGGTCAAAAGCCAACAAATGCATACATACATACATACGTCCCCTCCCCGTATCGCAACCAATCCACTTTCACTCCAACTCTAACCGGCAACCGCGCCCTCCCTCCTACAACTCGCTTGTTATCATACTCTTATCAATTCATCTTCCAAGCCCAATCCCAATCCCCATGATGAATCCATGGCCTAATCTGGCACTTCTCGCCAAGGGACTCTCGAGGCCCTTGATTTGGCGCCCCCTGATGTGTCACAGGCGCTTCAGGGCCTGCCCCAACACCTCGCAGCACTTGTCGATTTCCGCATCGCCGACTACGAGCGGTGGCACCAGCCGGATCACGTCTCCCTTGCCGGCCGTGATGGCTAGCACCCCCATCTCCCGGGCCGTGTCCACCACCGGGCCCGCCATCACGTCCAGCTGCACGCCCACCAACAGACCCACACCGCGGACCTCCTTCACGTGAGGGTTGCCGCCCATCGTCCGCTTCAGACCTGTGCGTGACAATGAGGATGAGGATGAGGTGGTGGGTGAGGTGGTCATGGTAGTGGTAGTGGTGGTGGTGGTGGTGGTGGTGACGGACGTGATGAAAACAAGAGGCTCAACACAGCAACCACCCTTCACACAACAATACGTACGGTAAGGATTGTTGTACACCGCCGTACATACTACGTAAGGATTGTTGTACACCGCCGTACATACTACTCCCCCCACACCTACCCGTGTAATTGTATGTATGTACGCTTGTGTCAAAAGGAGCCCAAACCCACACCCGTAAACCTCTCTTTTACCCCAAACCTCTCAATCCCCCAATCCCCCCAAAATACCTAAAAAAAAAACCTCACTTACCTTCGCGCAACCTGACTCCCCTCTGTTCCACGGAGGTGAGGAAGGTGGGGTTGTTGATGATGTCGAACACGGTGCAGGCGACGTGGCACACCAGGGGGTTGCCCGCGAATGTGGACCCGTGGTCGCCTGGACACACGCGTGCGTGTGTGTATGTGCGTGTGTGTGTACATATGTGTGTATGTGGATGCGGGTGTACCGGGGGAAGGGAGGGGAGGGGAGGTTACATGCAAGTCGCAGATTCGGAAGTGGTGTTGGGGGACAAGTGATAGGGTTGGGGGACAAGTGACGTGGTTGGGGGGTTGGAGGAGGAGAGGAGGATGTGAGAGAACGGGGGTCCAGGGCTTAAGCGGTTTAAGGGAGGAAAATGGAACGGACAAACGTACGACCAAACGTATGTAAGTATGTATGTCTGTGGCGTAACCGGCACGAAACCACCCGAATATCCAACCCCCCGGCCCCCCCCGTGCAGGATACTGTTTCCCTCATCATCAATCTACCTCTCCTCCTCTTCCCCCCGGGAAACTCTCCTCCACATCTGCGTTTCCACTTAACTACTTACCTAACCACCTAACCACCACTCCGCAAATTATGCTAACTACCTGTCCACTCAGCAAACTGCCCACCCGTTCCTTCAGGTATTGTACCGCGCCGAAGTCCCTCTCTCCCTCTCCCCCTTCTTCGTCCCCTTAGCTGCGTAACACCCCTTCAGCAATCCCCACCTGGCTTCATGACGTCCGCCACATGCTGCTTCATCAGCACAGCCCCAATGGGCAGACCGCCTGCCAGGGGCTTGGCCAGCGTCATCATGTCCGGCTCGACGCCGTACAGCTGGTGACCCCACAGCTTGCCTTTCGCATTGAGATGCGTATACATACATACATACAGGGCATGCACATGTAGCTGAGTCAGTATGCATGTACAGGATGTACAGATGTACGGATGTACTCCTATCCAGGAATGCAATGATCATACGATCTAGTACTGTGCAGCGGCGGGCTGGCCCATGCACAGAGAAGCAAATTAAACAAACACTGGACACAAGAGAGGTGCCGTACGCACGAGAATAGAGGTGCCGTATATCCAAACGCCGACCACGCCCCCATGGGGCCCCCCCCCGTCCCGCCCCCCTCAATACCCACCAGTTCGCCCCAGGCCGCACTGCACCTCGTCAAACACCAGCAGCGCCCCCGCCTCGTCGCACAGCTCTCTCAGCCCCTTCAGGAAGGCCAACTTGGAGGGCGTGATGCCGCCCTCCCCCTGCACGGGCTCCACAAACACAGCTGCCGTTTTGCCCTTCTCGATCACGGCTCGTGCGGAATCCAAATTGTTGTACTCGGCGAGACGGTGGCCCGGCATCATAGGATAGAACGGCGTCTTGTACTGCTCCTTGTACGTCAGCGCGAGCGCACCCATAGTACGGCCGTGGAAGCAGGACGTGAAGGAGACGAGCTCGTACGGCGCCGAGGCGTTCGCGTCGTAAGGGTCAACGCCGGCGCGAACGCGCGCCCACTTCCGTGCGAATTTGATGGCGCCTTCGTTTGCCTCTGTGCCGGTGTTGCAGAAGAAGGCCTTGTCGGCGAAGGAGTTTTCCACAAGACGTTTTGCGAGCTCCACTTGGGGTTGGGTGTGGTAAAGGTTGCTTGTGTGTGCGAGCTGCTGGGCTTGCTCTGCAAGCGCTGCGAACCACCGGGAATCGCTGTGCCCCAAGGCATTAACGGCGATGCCAGCGGCCATGTCGATGTACTCCTTGCCCTCCGCGTCCCACACCTTTGCACCCTTTCCATGCGAAATAACGACCGGGGCCCGTGCATACGTCTGCAATACGTACTTGGACTCCTCGCTCATGACCTGTTTGGTGAAATCAGCGCCTTGAGGGGCAGGTGTGCCGTTGTTCGCGGGCTTGAAAATGCCTTTGAGTAGATTTAATGGGTCCACGGTAGCCGCTGCGCGTGGGATAACGCATCGTATGCGCGATGTGCAGCTTCCCCGGCAAGGGGCGGCGTGGCGATGCTTCAAGTGGGCCATCGTCCCTGAGGTTTAAAGCCTGCATATAATTTGCAACCAGCGCCATACAACGCATCAGATGTTTCATATATTCCGCAAGCCTCCGACCTCTAGACAGGTAATAAGCCCTAGCCATTGTCTGCTCAAAATCCCTTGGCCTAAACAAGCTCGGCAAAAGTGCTTGCGGCAAGATGGCTCGCAAGACTACGCACCAGAAGCTAGCGAACACAAGGCCAGGTACTGCTGATGGAAATTGCAAGTCAGGTACGTCCAGAGAGCGCAAATGACCGATATACAGAGCTGAGCTCAATTCGCACTAATACAATATCAGCAGATAGCGCAAGAACCAGTTATCTCTCCGATGAAGCACCTTTGGCCAAATGTTTACACGTGAGGACCGTACACATGGTACGGAAAGAAGCAAATGGGCCCGTAAAACGAGTGTGACTTCCTGGAAATGGAAAGCAAATTCATAATGATATTCATTGTCCTACTCAAGAGTTAAAGAGCACTGTTATCGTGGCCAATTTCTAAAAGCTGCGCAGGCCTCTTCAGAACAAGTCGAGCACATAGATAGTAGCTTTCACAACCTATGAGTGAGTTTACCTTGCAACTCCGACACCATTCCACTTTGATCGGCGAATTCTTGTAAGGATTGCCCACGAGCACGCTCGCTCATTTTCCTCTGCCATGGCGGCTAACGTTCGCATCTCGCAGCAGAGTTGTTCTCGGCTTACCATCTAACATGTATTATAACTCACTTCTCTGGCCATATCACGTGGGCCACTATCTTGATTGCCAGAACAGCCTTTCGTTACGAGAGTCTTGACATTACAACCTCGCGAGCACCACGTTTGGAGTTAGGACGAGCCCAGTATGGCAGAATTATGCATTGAGCCTTCAGTTGCCCGTAGAGTCGGCGCGTGTGTGCACCTGTGCGATGTTATGGAATTGTTAGTCGGCGCCTCGGTGCCGTTACTGCACACATTTGAATGATGTGTATGGCAACCCGCGCTCTTATGTATAGATAATTTAACGTGGGTATAGCTTATATAATCTATCCTGGCTGCAAGCTTGACGGAATCCGAATGGCGCCTTGATTTAGCATGATTGGGCTAATGCGATGCCCAGGAACCGTAATTGCGATCTCTACCAATACATAGCTAGCATTATCAGGCATGGCTGATAAGCAATTCTCAACAGAATGACGCGGGCGTACCACTTCTCAAATGCTTTGGCATGCGCACGGCGTTGCCAGAAAGGTAGTTTAGGGCTCCACCATAAATATTCATGATAAAAACGTAAGCGTGCTGTCAAATCCATCTGGCAGATGTTGCAGTTTTGCGCGTTAGCAATACTCGGCTCGCGATGCTGGCAGCTTGCGAACCCGTAAGAGCATCGCGGACCCGGACGAAGCCAAGATGCCAAAAGGATCAACAAACGCAGCTTATCCGCATACGGTGAACTACTTGCTCACCTTTTCCGATTAGCCATACAGGATTTCGGATTGTCTTCGCTCGAAAGTCTTTTGAGTCCTTGCTACCGCCCGCTGTGGCATAATCATCCCCAAGATAAGAGGAGTGTGCATGTATGCGAGAGGTCAACCGGAGGGCACGCCCTGAGCCTTTTGAAAAAGCCGGCAGATCAAAAAACGTTGATGGCTTTTGGACGCCCCCGAATTCCTGGCACGATACTCTCTGGAATTCCAAAAGGCCATGGGGACACCAACCCGGTGGTGGTCACTAGGGGGGCAATCAAAGGCGCCATGGATACACACATGTCCATACTGCTTTGTGATTGTGAGGCAGACATTTTTTGCATACTCAGCTACTCAGCATGCAAAAAATGTCTGCCTCACAATCTCTGGCTGCATTTCCTTGCATTCCGTGCAGACCGGGCGCCAAGGACAAGGTAAGCTACCCTCTGCTACCCGCCGTACTGGACCGTATGAGTGGCACGTAGCTTTTCTTTCGCGTTTCAAGGGATAGTTACCGCCTGCACCTTAGCCGCATATAATGGAGTGGAGCAGCTAGGAGGCTTGTGATGGCGTGGGGAGGACCTACGAATTGGCGACGGTTGTAAAGGACTCTCAACTACTGGGGATGTATGATGTGGAATAGCAGCCTCACGGCTGGCTTTTTCAAGTGAATGCGATAGCGGTTACTACATAAATTTGTCTGAGGCAGGATGTACAAACATGGTGCGTTTGTGTAAAGGCCCCTGTGATCAACGACCGGACCGATCGGATCTGCATGCTGGTTGGTCATCGGAACGAGGCGAATTTGGCATGAAACAGCTTGAAATGACGCGGAATGGTGGAAAAATACAAATCCTTGTGAGCATCTGGATATGAAGCACAAATCATTGTTTGTGGAGGTCAAAGGAAAAGGGCAGTTAGTTAGGTTCTTCATTACAGCTGGTGGGCTAAAGGTACGTAACGAGATGCATTTCTGGCATGAACCTCGCTGGCTTGGCAGTTAAAGTTTTATTGTAATGAGTTACGTTTGGATTTAATTATACTTGTATTTCGCACTACTTAATTCGCGGTATAAAAGCAGCATCATTGCAGCTTCGTCGCGATGGCGCACATGAAACGGTCCGTTTCGTCAACAAAGTTAAAACGGCTGACCCTGCACCCCGTCGAAGCTGAAAGCAACAGCTGTTTCAAATCGGAGGCGCTGACGCAAGTGGCTGCTGCCTCGAACATCTTGACTACCGCATCGTTGCGGTCGTCATCTTGTTGCGCTTCATCGTTTCGTTGCCATCGCGAACAGCCCAATCCTGCCCAACCTTCCAAGCGGGTCATGTCAAAAAGCTACCTTCCATTGTCCGTTGTTCCAAGCGGCTTGGAGGACGCCGTTGGCCAAATGTCGGCGGAAGGCGATCTGGCAATCCACATACGCATATGCACTTTTAAGTGCCGCCCTTGTTCGTTTAGTAGAACAACGAACAAATGACCACACAAAACCCCTTTAATATCGATGTATGCACGCAACTTAGCGCATTCTGGGCGCCCATTTCGCTCTGCGCATGCTGATTAGGGATTCATTCTGCGTGGTTGAGCGTGGTTGTTGGATGACTCCCCATGTATAGTTCCTGTGAGGGGGTGTTACAAAGGGAGTCCATTTGCTCCAGTTTCGTTTTCTCGACATCTGTTGACGAGTTGAGTTTTGGTAAGGTAGAGCTGCCCGCCTGCTATTTGGCCGTGATGCGCTTGCTTGCACGCGCCGCACTCACCGTACTGTGCAACCGCACCCTGTGTGCGTATGCGCGCCGTTCGGTTCTTAGGGCCAGTTACCGTATCGCTATGGCCGATTGGTGATTTCTGGATTGGTGAAAGTAAAAAACGCTTCTAGAATTAATCTTTCCAACACCGGAATTGGTGATACGGTTTGGTGTTACCCCGTCCACTTGGTGTTACCCCGCTCGGTTCTTAGGGCCAGTTACATTGCAAGCAGGGGTGTTTGCGAAAGTCCATTAATTGTCTCATCATGTGTTTGGCGTCGCGCTTAGCCTCACATTTGTCTTGACGTCTCGGTGAAACCAGCAGCAGGACCACCGAACATAAAAACACACACACATAAAACCAGAGAGATTTACCTCTCAGGCAAGCAGACTGCCCAGGGAACAGGTAAACGTAGGCAATGACGGCAAAATGAGAACGGAAAGAAAAGAAAGAAGGAGTACAGGAAATCCATGACGTACGGACAGGAACTATTTTTTTATATGAAGGCCACCAAGCTAAGGGGCTGGAAGGCCCGGGATCCCTAAGGCCTGGGGCCAGTTTCGAACAAGAACCAATTCGTTCCTGTTTGCTGCCTCCAATGTCTCCCATGTCGCCTTTCACGGATGTTAAGTATCGACCATCGGTAACAATTCTCGTCAAGGCTCTACCCTCCGAAACGAACTACCCGTCGAGGCAGTCGGGGCTCCTGTGGACATATAGTGCTGATTGTACTGCAGCATGTAGTGCAGCATGTCATGCAGCATGTAGTGCAGCATGCCCCAACCCAAGCTGCAAGGGGGGCCATGGCGTGGCCGTGGGATATATGAATTACAAGTGCGAGTACCGGACTTTGACGGCCGCATTCTACACAGGTACACACATACATACGTACGCCAAGTGTGGGGGCCGTTTATGCTAGCTGAGGTCTTGGACAGGCTCAGGAAGCGGAGTGATGCGAATAACCTTGCAGAGGGGCCCTTCGAGGCGTGCCTAAAGGACAGGGCAGTGCAGCTTCAGATATCTTTCATGCGGCAAATTGTAGGAGCTGCCAGACCAACACACCGCCTCTTGTTCGCAGAGCTATCGCAGCTACCCCTACACTACCACGTTCTCAAGCAGGTTGTGAGGTTTTGGAACCATGTCCGTTTACAGCGTGGGTCTGTGGCATACCAAGTTTTGCGACAGGAGGTCGCAGAATCCCTCTCCAACCCCGAAGGGCCCGGATGGGGGACACTACTCCTCCGTTTTCTATGTTTTTTGGGGCACGATGTATGGAAAGAGGCCCCGCAAGGGCTACACGAGGTAGACGAACGAGTGGAGTGGCTGATGAACAAGCCAATGCCAGAAGGTGTGATTTCGGAGTTCAAGGACCGATTAGTGAGTGGTTGGAAGCATACACGTTTAGATGTCCAGCCTGACGTGTATCCGTCAGACGGCAAACAACCAGGAATTCACATGGCGAAGTATAAGCATTGGATGGGGCTGGCGGCCGAGCAAGCGGGCAGGAAGGAGGTGCTCCCGCACATCACAATGTTTATCCCACGTTCGGCGAATTGCAAGCTTATGCAGTTTAGGCTTTGCTGTTGGGCACTGGCGGCTAACAGAGCGCGTAAGGGACGGCTTTATATACCTAGGGAGGAGCGAGTATGCCCCTGCTGCGGCACTGATAGCCACATCGAGGATGAGAAACACATTTTGCTGGACTGTCCGGTTTACGACGGAATCAGATCTGATATGGGCTTTCCACGCTTCGAACATATGAAGGACGCTATGAAGTGGGAACCTGGACGCCTGGCAAGAATGCTGGAACGTATATGGTCTCACCGCAACTCTATCGTTCCCTTTGGTCGTTAGTATACTTCATTACTTGTTTCGTTGGAAGTGCGAGGTAGGATGGTGCTTATAGGCGATTTGGCAGCCCTTGAGCCCTCGGCTCGTACTAGGGTGGTTTGCAGGTACGGGGAACGCACCCACGACCATGTAACAACAACAACAATACATACGTGCCGTCTTCCCTGAAGCATATTTTCCCCCACGATGAATCGAATTATGACAAAGTCAATATCAGGTGAACCATACGAACGGCGCCTCTTCGTGATGGGGCGACGCAGTGACTTGATCCGCCGAGGGAAACGCCACCCCATAGAACGCCTGCAGAAGCTACAGCACGGCGGGCCGTAAAATGGAGTGTGGTTTTGGTCCCCGACAACGATTACATTGACATGCAAGCAGCGGGTTGATTGCAAAGCTCAAGTTCATGCGACATCATCATTTGTATTTGACGCACATCGTGGCCGTTTTCCCCTCCTGAGGAATGAGAACGATCAGGAAGCAAGCACGAAACTGACGCTGACTGTTGTTGCTTGCGGGTGCGAGTCAGCAACACATGCAACCCCAGTTCAAGGGTCCAATTATGAATGCGGGGATGGGGTGGTAGGCGCGGCAGCGAGTATGCGCGTATCGGCGCCCGGCTGGGCATCAGCCTGTTTGAGACGCCGTGCCATGCCGCTCCGCGCGGGTGCTTCGTTGGTCCATACGTCTCGACTGGAATGTGTGTAGTCACAACTTCTGCCACATTCGATCTCCTTGGTCTTTGTAACACTTTTGGGCGAGCAAATTTTAATCACTTTTTGTTGCCAAAGCGAAGGTATGGACTGGGCTTTCTAAGTCCCGTTTCAAAAGCACATCTTTCGGAAGAAAAGGATACGAAAAGTTTTCATTTACGGCCGCATGTGCTATGTGGGTAGATTTTGCAGTGGCAGTTCCGCAATTCGACAACATGCCTTAGAAAATAAAATTAAGCTCCAAGCCCAGGGCCGAAATAGAATACTGTCTATGTCTCGTGCAATCACCGGCAATTGAAGGAAGCAAGAAGCTATTGAAATTGACCCTGAGATTCCTTTGAACGACTTATTCTCGATTGTTACGGCAGTCGCCCACGTGAAACTGCCGCCGTTCATCAGCAGTCAGGGCAAGCTAGCGTGAAAAACAGTAACGCGCCGTATCAGTAGTACATGTTTGAACGGCGTTTTGCTTGGATAAAATTATGAAGTTTTCTTTTGGCAAGCAGACCTTTGGTGCATCACCCTTCTTTATAAGCAATTCATCGCTTGCAACGCACATACTAGCCAACTTCTTTTAGCGATATACTTATTGGTATTGTTCTAGTACTTTCTATGAACGTCGACTGTGTCCAATTGTGTTCAACTAGGATTAAGCGTGCCACGTCAGCAGATAGACTGCTAGTACTGCTGTTCTCCCGTGTATGACTACGGTACTCTGAAAAGGCGTTAACGCCTCATATTAACGTAAAGGTAACGTAGATATCAGTTGCTAAAATTACCTAGCATTAGATTATGTTGCAAAACGGATCAATACGTATCGGATAGGGATGTGGCGAAATTGCACGACGCTCGGAATGAAAGGTAGAATGCGTAAATGTTCTTACCTTTCCCTAGACTGCGAAGAAACAAGCAAATGATGACTTGATCTATTTATTTTATCCAAAGGCGCCAATATCCGACGTCACATCAACCGAGCACTCCATCCAAGTTAGCCATTGAAGCAGGAGCAGCAGCACAACAACGTAATCACCTATGAGGATATAAGTCTCATCATATTTTAAACTATATTATACTGCACTCAGGATGACTGCCGGAAGGGAAGTGAACCGCCGGCAATCTTTACGAAGTAGCTGGCCAAATCCATAAGCCTCATGAAATTATTAAATCAAATTAACTCTGATTAAGTTTAACTTCATCGCGGATGTCACCGCGTACGTTGGACTTGTCGTTACCCATCAGCATTGCTTACTGTTAACTTGGCGGAACGTTACAATCACATCCCAGGAGGCCACCATCCTCAATATACTCTATTTTATGGTGTTTTAAGCACATTAGTTGGCACGCTCGCCTTCTTTCCCGCGCTCGCGCCCACCGCTCTGTACACCGTCTGGACATGCCGTACATTATTCGCCAGGGAGGGCGCGTTGCAAGCCGTCATAGAAGGATCGGGTTCTGCGATTGCATAATCGTAGCTGCACCCTTACAGGCTGAAGAGTTACGGCCTCGTGGGTTGCATAATTGGAATCCCTTTTTCACGAAAAGGCGTGGAGTGGTCCGTTATTCCATTTCTGTCACGACTCGAGACTTGGCTACGTAAGTCTGCATGTGATGGATTCACGCGACATCGCTAGATTGTTTGATGTTGCATAATTGGCCAACATCTCAGCATTTTAGCTGGAGAGGGTAGCTGGCAGACGCTTATCATGTCGCGGTTCCTTCCGTGCGCAGTGGTGCTCACCGGGACCAATTTTATACGCAAAGATGTCTAAGCTGCTGCTCGTGGCGCTTTTTGGCGCCATAGCAGTGGTTGCTACGAGTGCTGGTGAGTGCGCTGCCTCCTTCGACCCTTACGATGCAACGTAAATTTTCGCTACCTGAGTTAACCTGCTTCTTTCTGCCTATTCTTTTGCTTATAACAGAGGTACTCAACCTCAACGGAAGGTAAGACGCGATTGCTTAAGATGTCGTTCCTCATCGTGAGTTACTACTGAAAGATGTGGTTTTGCAAGTGCCATCGCATGCGCTAAGTTTTTGATGTTAGATGTCGGAGCCAAAATTTACATCGTTTTATTCTTTGTCGGCAGGTCTCTTTTGAACAACGACGACCCGAACGCCTTCCCTTACTGCAAATGTACTTATCGTCAGCGCCGGAGCCCATACCGCCTGAAGTATGTTGGCGCCGAGAACAACTACAAGGGCAATGACTGGCTGTGCTACAGCATTGTCCTTGACACCACGGGCACTGTTTGCCAGACAGTTCCGTTGACGGAGCCTTGCTGCAGCGCTGACCTGTACAAGATTGAGTTTGACGTCAGTAAGTGGTGTGATCCAGGCACCCTTCTGTTCTTACCCAGGCATGTCTGTAGGCACCTTGCCTGGAAAGGCAATTTCAATCTTGCGACACCCTGTCTGGCTCTTCGTAGCTATGAGTTGGCATTCAATTCCTTCCATCGGCCAAGTAGCCCTTGCCTTATCTCTCTATCCAGTCAACATCCTTGCGGCCTAAAGTAAGCTCATGGTCCCAGGCCTTGTGGCCCACTGTTACACAGCCTTACTAACTGACGCACGTTGTTCCCTTGCCATCCTTTTCCATGGCGCACGTTACAGAACCCTCCTGCAAGGGCACTGTTACACGTGCTATGGTGTTCAAGGGCATTGACAGGACTGTTGGCGGCGTACGTGTGTTGGAGTCCATCAGCACCGTCGGCATTGATGACGTCACCGGTGTTCCGGGCGCGGCCATCCTTCGCATCGTGAAGGACCTTGCCCTCCCGTACAGCGTCGTGGCTTCCTTCTTGCCTAGTAAGTTGGGACTAAACTCAAATTTTCGTTCTTGCCCAGCAGCTTGATGATTTTCTTCGTGGGGGAAGCGTCACGGTTTGCGATCGATGCCGATGTATAAAATGTTTTTTTTGTCTATCTCGCTTTTTAGCCTACGCTTTCTTAATCAGTTTTTTTGGGTCTTCAGTGTTGTTTTGTGGTCCGTCCCGGCATGTGGACGTTCGTGCCGAAGTTATCTTACACCGAGGGATGTGAGGGATGTAAGAAAGGATGTTTGTACCAGACGAATCGTCCACTTCCCATCCAGAGCGCATACAGCTGCTGCTTTGAATAGTTGCCCATTGCGTTTTGGCGGTTTGCCCATTTTCCAAGGATGCTATTGTCAATCGCGTCGGACAAGTTAAGTCTTTTGCACCATAACGAACTTTCCAGCCGTTTAGATGTCAAATAGATAAAGAAGAATCCTCTTTACGGCGAAGCTCTCACGCCAAAACAAACGTTTTCACTTGAAAGACATTTTTCTATGATTGCACTTTCCTGGACGGCTGCTCTATGTCTTCCTGTCCCTGCTTGTTCCCTAATCCCTACCCTACCTGCCTCCCTACCTGCCTCCCTACCTGCCTCCCAACCTCCCTCCCTACCTGCCTCCCTCCCTGCCCATATCCTTGCAGATGGCTTGCCGGTCTGCATCAACAGGGTGCCCGGCTCGTGCACGTTCCCGGAACTGTTCATGGACGTTAACGGCACTGCCTCGTACTCGGTCTTCAACTCTGATAAGGATTGCTGCCCAACCGGCCTTTCCGGCCCCAATGTCAATCCAATTGGCCCGGCACCCAACAACAGCCCGTTGCCACCAAGCCCGCAGCCAACAGCAAGCTCGCGGCCACCAAGCCCGCCGCCCAGCCCGCGGCCGCCAAGCCCGCCGCCTCCCTCGCCCAGCCCA